AACCCTAAACCCTTTAAACCCTAAAATTTAAACCCTGAACCTACTTAACAACTTAGGGAATGGTTCTTCAATCTGGATATACTCACCATATATATCTACACATTGCTTTAGGGTTTAGGGTTTTGGTTTTATAGTTTTAAGGTTTAGGGTTTACCAGTATAGGGTTTAGTGTTTAGGATTTAGGCGTGATCCTCTTGTGTGGCTTCGGCAAGAGCAAATGTAGACAATCTATGCTATCTCCAACTTGCCTCGAGTCAGTGTAGAGCCTCACCACTGGGGGCTGTGAGCTAGATCGGGGCCTCACACTTAAGGACCAAGCTGGTGAAGATGGGAGTGAAGCTCTAGGCTTGTTTGTAAGGTCTGACAAGCATCTATGGGCAAACTTTAGTGTCTGGAGTGGTTGTTCCTTGCTCAGCCCTAGGGCCATGACTTAATGGTCAATGTCCCTGGAGATCTCCTAGCTTGGTTATGACCCTGAGCAAGGGATTATGGACTCACCTTCCAGTGAGGCCTTCATGTTGATCCCACAGGACAAAAGTGCGTCCATGCTAGGGCCCTGTTCCTTTCTATTCTTGGTTGTTCTGGGTGGCATAGACTTAAGTTCTCCTGTCTCACACCCTAGCTCTACTGCTGCTGCACGTGCTGCTGCTCTAGTGGTGACTCCTGACGTGACCCTAGTGTGCCGCTCCTGTGCTTCTGTGAGACATCCATCCCTGCGAATCCCCTCAACTACAAAAGTGCTTGCAATGATTCCCTGTTAGGATTCTATCCCTTACACCCTAAGCCAACTGGCTAAAGGGGTGATCACTTGATTGTAGGGCCCTTTCCTTATCCTATTATCCTGACCTAGTGCCTAACAATCCTCCCCTCGTCAAGGAATGATCGTCCGCAATCATACTTAGGCCACCATCCGGTCACCATGGTCCTTCTCTTAGGGTCTACCAAACCTTGGTTCTCCCTCTAGATCCACCATGTTGAATATTCCTTCAGAATATTCCTGCCCCACTTGTCAGCCACGAGAATCGAACTGGGCTCCAATACCAATGTTATGATCCGGCGCAAAAAGACAGAGATCTAGTCACCCTAGACTATACTACGCCACCTCTTGAGGTTCCTCACCACCCAACCACCCCCGAACTACCTCAAAAGCTCCTCAAACTCATCCATGGTAGACACTGGTGGTTTCTTATCCGCAACATGGGACTCCTCAAGCCAATTCCACCATCGAAGACCCGCATCACGCAAAACCATCGGAATAGCCACTAAAGCCTCTGCATCTGGAGTTCCTCTAGTAGCCAAGAACTTCTTCACATTGGCTAGCCAAGCGAGACACTCATCCACACCACCATCACCGGAAAAAGTTGGAATCTTGAGTCGATCTACCAAAGAAGGCTTACTTGGAGCGCTACTCCGTCCAGCCTCGAGTGCCTCGACACACCCACGCATGGTATCCATCATGCCATGCATCTCGTCTTGCATCTCTTGCTGATTTTTATTAAGGGCTCGCAGCTCATGAACCACATCTTGAATGGTCCAAATTTCTGCAGCTTCGTCGGCACCATCGTCGGCACCACCATCGACAATAGGATTCCAGCGTTCAACTTGGTCGGCCATCGCAACCAATGCTCCTAGACTATGCTACACCACCTCTTGAGGTTCCTCACCACCCAACCACCCCCGAGCTACCTCAAAAGCTCCACTGCGCCGCCGCTCCACTGTGAGCCCTAGGGTAGGTTAAGTCCCCTACCCTAACATGCCTTAATATACCCTTGAGCCTCCCTTTGACCGATGTTGACCATGTAGTCAAAGCTGGTGCCTAACATTCCCCACAAGCCTTTCTGACTTGTGACTAGCCTGAGACTCTCACAAAGCTCCTATACTCCAGCTAGTGACCAGGCAAGTGGGTGAGGAAAGGTAGCTTCGTCCTCTCCTCCACTCTCAGTGGAAACTTCGCTTTTGGTGTGGCTTATACTTCCAGCTTTTTCCAAGACTTGGCCATCCCCCAACCTAGAAACATCCACCACTTCTATCCCATTGTTTTCATCCTGCTGAGCTGCTGCTTTGCGTGGCTCACTTGCTGTCTTGTGCAGTAGTGTTCTGGCATTGATACAGAGGCCCCTTTCCCATCCTGGCTTACTGCCGTGTGTGTTCTAGGACCCCGACCTTGTAGCAATCCTCCTCGTGGGAGCCAAATGCTGAGGCCCCTACCTCGCACTCTATGACTGTGAAAGTTCAGATTGATGGGTGTGGATGCCGTGACTCTATTGCGGCTGTTCTCCATGCTTCTGACAAGAGAGTGAGTACACAGCAAAAGCAAAAAAAGGGAAATGATGCTTCCCTGAATCTCACGACAAATGCCCCCACCGACAGTAGCAAGTGTGGGGAGATTGCATGCTCTCCCCTGTGCGCTCTTCTACCTCTAGTTGCACCTCCTATCACGACAGCCATGGTACTAGGTGCCTTCCACCACTGCCTCCTCAAAAACTGTCCAATATTAGGGTTTTTTTACCCAATCTGGCAAGATCACTGAACGTGTATGTACACCCCCCATATCCCAATGGGACTAATACAAAAATTGGGTGTGCCACCCTCTCAATGAGCTACTCTACATGATCCTCTTGTGTTGCAGCTGAACCTAGTCCTGGAGTAGAAGTGGATGTGGTCGTCTGAATCAAATCGTATCGATATCCAAGTCTCCCCCACGAGCTAAACGTAGAACAAAGTCTAGGGGGCACCACTGCCAGTGAATCTCGCCACCTACCATTCTGCCGAAGCAGGGGAGCCACCAGGACCTCCACTCCTTGAGTTGCCTCGGTTTTTCCTGCTCTTTCAGGATGGTGTAATGAAAACACACTACTGCAAGAGTGAGTCTCCACCATGATGCCACCACCACCGATATCCTCAGCAAGTGTAGGCAAGTGTAGTAGTAAGATGCCAAGGTACAAGAGCTTAATGTGTGCATGGAGCCACCTTTCTCATGCAATAATGGTTTACTCTTGTATAATGGTAGGGTATGTCTTTCCTAAGTTTATGAGATTATCAACCATTTTCTTTATTATTATTATGACCACCCGAAGGCTAGTCATTTTAGGGGGAGGAAGATTTAAGAGTTGATCAAGTGTAGATTTTTTTGGAAGAACATGAAAACTAATATTCTCAAATATTGCAAGATATGTAAGAATTGTCAGAAGTCAAGGTGCCAAGGTGTAGCACACGTGGTTTTCACCCTTTTATCCTATAGTGATTCACTATAGGATAACCATGAAGCATAACCTAAACCCTTTATATGCCATGTGTCACATGCCATGGTCCAAGGATAGTGGTGCAGAACCTGAGCTTCAAAGCCTTAAACCACTGAATGAAAGAACAATGCCAAACTGTAAGCGACTAATTTTTCCATTCTACTTTAATCACTTAACCACACCTCCAACCACTTGGAAGAGTCTCACTCACAACCTCCATAAGTCTTATTTTGGACTTGGGCTTGCTAGCCCCAAGAATGGCATCCCTGCCACTCAACCTGTGCACTTGGTCCAAGTGCTCCATGTGTCCGATCCCACAACTGACACCCCAAGGTACCACTGACATATCAGCCCATTACGCTAAGGCCATTCCCATTCACCTTGGTCACACAGGTGGTTTGACACCACCTACACCACAGTCCCGTCTCGCAAAGATTGGGCCATCCGTCCATGAGCGATCATCCTAGATCCGCTCCTTAGCATCCTTAAGATGCCTACAGACATGGGGAATAGCCTTCCCCAATATCCCTTTTCCAGTCCCCACTAAGTCCCTTTCTGTCCATGGCCGTGTTCGTCAACACTGCCACTGGATCAAGGCCCACAAGCCCGACTACTAAGTCCTATGGTCCTTTAGGACTTCTTCCTCACACAACCGTATCCTTGGTCTCTACACTAGAGGACGGCTCCTCTTCCTTTTCACAGTCTGGGACTTTGGGGCAACATTTCGGAACACCGTGGCCTTACGCGAGCCTCATGGGTACTCTCCCTGCCTTCTGCTTTTGGGTGCTCTAGCCATGGGCTTAGAGCGAGGTTTCGTTGAGCCACGCCAAGTATCCAAATAGGTAGTGCCACCCACACTTGGACTAGGAGCATCAGCCAGTCAATCTCCCGGGGGAATTAGAGCCGGCTCTTGAACACTTCACCAAGCTACCCCACTTGTCGGTTTGTGTTCACTCTAGTCTTGGATTTCCCAGTGGGTAGCTCATCACCCAACACTGGGTACAACCTTCTTGGGCCAAACTAGCCTTTCCTGGCCAAATTGGCTCCACTGCAGTCTTCCCCTTTACTATACTTTTGGAACTCACCAAACCCCCTAGGGTCTGGGAGATGAATGCTTTGGGCTTTCACCCTCTCAGACTCGAACTCAGTATGAAGTTTCATATGCCGCTAATACTAATTAGTGGAGTATGGTTTCATATGTTGAACAAGGACAAATATGCAAACAAGAGCTACACTATACCTCAGGTTAATCAACCATGGCCAAGTTTCATTTTGACCCACATTGACCATGGAGTCAAAGCTAGTGTCTAACAAAGAGGGGATATCTAAGCAAAAAATTAAGTTATTTCATGTGACCTTTTCCCATTTTATTATAAGCAGCTGCCTTTATTTTGTAATGGGTTAATGCGGCCTTACCTTTTATTGCTCACACCCAAATTTTCCTTTTTCTTCTTTTAGCTTTGAGTTGAGATTTCTCACATTCCCTTTTAGGTTTTGAGGTGGCACAGTGAACAATGCACTTTCATTGCTTGGGTGCTTGAGATCAGTTATCCAGCTCCATTATTCCAAAAGATGGTAGAAGGGATCAAATTAAACATGAACAATACATAGCACAATGGTTGGCATGGTGCATTGCGTTTTAGCACCCTTTCTAACCGCCCAGCATTTGCACTAGCACAAACATAAGTTCTTACAAAACTTTAAAATAGAAAACTGCCTTTATCCCATGTCCTATTTTAGTTCTCCGTGCGTTTCACGATAGGGTTTCACTTAGCAAAATGGAGAAGGTGCAGGCTCGAATCGAGCTTCTTGAGCCGCAGATCCAAGCGGCTGGGAAATCTTTTCTCTCTGCCCTTCAGAGTGGCAATCAATCTCTGGCGGAATATTGGCTGAAGGAGAAAGAGCGGCTGCAGAAGAAGGAAGAGCAGCTGTGGGAGGAAAAACTCTTCCTCCTCAAATGTAATGGTAAGTGATTTGGGGCGTTTTGCTGTGTGTTTTGGATATCTGTGGCTATGGCTGCTTTCCGTTGGATCTAGCTTCAATTCGTTTTTATTTTAGGTTGCTGGCTATGGTGGCTTTTGGCTATGCTGCCGGCTATGGCGGCTCCCTTGTGGATCCTTCTATGGCTGTTGAAACCCATGTGTTTTCTGTTGATAGTTTTTTCTTCCAGATCTAATACTTGTTTTGTTCTGAATGTTGCAGTGCCCCATGAAATCGGTGGATATGGTTTGTTTCCTTGCATGCGCCCCTTGTTTTCTCTTTGATCTGTGCATGCATCCATGTCGGAAGTCCAGTCCTAGTGCGCCATGAAAGCGGCAGATGTCAGCCATGATTTCGTCACTGTTGGATTTGGTGATTGTGGTTGGTTATTCAATCTTGCGTTCTACTAAGAGTTTCTCTCTGGGTGATCCTCCAAAGTTCCCTTGTTTGTTCCCTTGCGGCATGTAGATCTTCTGCTTGTCGTTTAAGCCAGATGTTTCTTGCGTTTCCTCTGCTTAAAATCCCCTCGCTTCTCACTGCAGACAGCTCTTGTGTCTTTTCGTTCATGTAACTAGCGATTTGTTTCCAGGTCCGTCTTTTGCTTTACCTGAGCTAACTTCGAGCGATATGGCAAGTTTGGATTGCTTTCTGGAGGGCAAGGCTGGCATACCCCGCTATCGTGACACGAATATTCCGCGATTTGGTGACAGGCCGAGCTTGTTGCTGCATGGCCTACTAGCACACGACACTGAAAACTTCGACAAGTTCGTGAGCAGGGGTAGCAGGTTTTTATTGGTGCCAGGAACAAGTGGAGCAGGAAAAACCAGGACTCTCTATGCTCACCTGGCGAAGAACTTTGGTTTTTACTTCATTTCCAATGACCTGGGGAATGGCGGGTCTGCAGACTTGAGGGAGGTGATTGGTATACTGGCAACGTATCTGGGCGCGGATCAAGTTAAGAACTATACTATAACTACCTTTATGGTCACTGTGCTGCTGCTGGTCAGGATAGTGGTCTTCCTCTACTGCAAAGGAAAGGATATAACTCCTGAGAAGTGGCTCATGTTACAGGTCGGGTGCCAGAGGCTGGAACAGGACATGAAACCATTGAAATTGGATCCTTTCGCTGCTTGCACTCGGTTGGCTCTCGGCAGATATGGGCCTGTCCTCCATGGCTCGTTAGTGGGGATTGCAGGTTTACTGGGTCAGGCCAAAAATGCCCTTTCAAAGTTGCTGGGAGGACAGCAGTTACCCCTGTTGGTAGTTGATGAGGCACAGGAGCTGGTTAAGCTGTATGCCGGACAGTTCCGTACAAATATTGAACCCTTCAAGGACCGACCATTGGCAAAGCCAGTGTTGGAAACTTTGCTCTACCCAGGCAACGAATCTCCAATTCATCATGTTGTATATGCTGGAACGGGCTTTCTTCTGAGCTTCAGCCGTTTGGAATTCAACAACTCGGTGGGGAAACCGTTCGTCAAAGATGACGTGTACGAAGGTCTTGGTAGCTGGACAGATTGGAAGCAGATGGCAGCCTATTCCTGTTGTATTCTTGGGACAGCTTGGGATGCTGAAGCTCAGGAGACAGTGAAGAATGAGATATTTCCCTATTTCAGGGGTCGGTTTCGCCCATTTGCGACATTGCTCGAGGAGGTGATTAGGAGGGGCAAGCACATCCGATGGGTTTGGAACGACGTTTTTATAGGACTGACAGCTCGCCAAGGAATTCCAGGGATACAAAAGAGCTACTACAGGATACTTGCAGAGGTAGCAAGTGGACGAAGAGGGCTGTTGGGGGAGGTGGATATTCATTTCTTTGTGGACTTGCTGCTCAAGGTGACCGTGCAGTACTTCTACTTTGGGTGGTCGTTCACGTGTCCAGTTTATGGTGATGAGCAGGAGAATGATTTACCTTTGACTCTTTTGGAGGTTGCCATAGGAAGGGTCTACGGAAAGCAAATGGTTATAATTGACGAGCCTCTTATGCTGGTGGCGATGCACAACTACTTTTTGGACGAAAAGAAGATCACTGGAAATATGCTGGACACCCTTTATGCTCTGAACAATCCTTCCACAGGCAACTGGTGGGAGCATCTGTTTCCGCTGGAGATAAAGGATTTGTGGGAAAAGCACGAGGGGAAACTGGATCAGTTTGAGCTGTTTCATGATTTGGACCTGACACAAAATTTGGAGGCTTTGAAGAGCAAGAAGAGTCGTATTATGGAAGGCTCTATCTTTTACTTGGATGGGGCGCCAATGCCACCGGTGGTGATCTATAAGGCGAACAAAAACTACACTTGCCATGACTATTTGGCAAGTGATGTGCCTGGTTGCATGTTTTTGGTGGCCGAGCATGCTGCAGGTTGTGACCTCATGTTCAGAATTCAGTTTGAGGACCATACCATCGTATGGGTTAGTGTGCAACTCAAGCTGAGGAAGATCTTGCCCAATGCTTATGATGCTGTTTGCAAGGCAGAACCATCACCAAAATATACTTGCAGGGGAGAGATGTTGTGCCTGTTGGTTGCATATCCAGCATCAGTGAACCATCCACCAGTGGAGAAACAGAAGATTGATGGGCAGACTAGATCTGTGGTTACAGTAGACAGGAAGAACGCCCACAAGTTTATTTCACTGGACCATTTGAAGAACCTTGATATTTTGAAAGTGGAGGAACGAATGATATTTTGAAGTGGAGGAACGTATGCTAAGCTATAATAATATGAAGACAGTCAGATCTAGCCAATGGCAATTGTTAGATGGATGATTGTCAAAAGGTACAACTAGCATGTTGCTGTTATGGGAAAAGAAGGAAATTTATTGTTGGCTCCAGCCAAAATAATGTTTAGGGCCTGGGCATAATGTTTTGCTTGCTTTTTCCAATTGTCTCATATTTGTCTTAAATCCGTGAATAACCACTATTGGCGACTGGAGCCTCATGTTGTTGCTATGGAGCTTAGAAACATTCTCATTACGTATGTAGTAGACTTAAACACATCCACTTGAAGCTCACAAATTTGTTTATAGCATGTTCAATTATTGACAAAGTGCCATGGTTTGAAGGCGGAAAGCTGCAAGTATCTCTAGTGTATTGATTTGCATGCTTACTAATATGTCATATTTTGCTTGCTTTGGTGTTTGCAGAAGTTTTGCAACTTGATCCTGTACTACAGTTAGTGGAAATTTTTTTGTGGATGGATTTTGAAATGACAAGCAAGAGCAAACAAATGGCATGCAATCTTAAATAGATTGTAATTACTTTTTGTTTTTTTTTTTTTTTTTTGTGCAAAAACAGGCCTAGCTAACGATCTGAGTGACAAGCTGATGCTAGACGAGAAGGCTTTGAGTCCAAATGAGAAGCTGATTGAACACAAGCTGCCCGTTTATGAAACTGATTTATTTTCTGGTAAATCATCACATCTTCATCAGTTCATCATCGCTCTCATTGCTTTAGAGATGGTAATCATCGACACTGTAAACTACAAAAGTGAAAATAAGAAAATGAATTGACTTACCAAAAGAATTACCAATCGCAAAAAAAGCTTGTGCTACTTAATCCACATTCTTCACCATCTAGCTATCCACATCAAGAGTATACTCCATGAATTCTAAATTAGCTCCATGACATTACTCATTGCTTTTACCAATAGGAACATGATATGATTTTGTTGAACACTTTGTAGATATACTTCCACCAAGATTGGTATTGCCCAGGCAAATGGTTTATGGAGTGTAGCCAAACTTTAAGTTTAGTATAACCTAGAGAGGGGGATTGGAATAAAGTTTGGAATCTGTGAAGAGTTTGCTAACACTCTATTGCTCATGTAGTCAATAGTTGAGCCTAAGTATGACTAAACCAAAGTTAATATAATATGTGAGAACTTTGGCAAAAGAACTTAGCAAAGGCTAAGGCAAAAGTGGTTGAATAGATAAGGTAAGTTGGCAAATTGGCAAAGAACAATTTGTAATTTACACTACCATATGTTTTCACTGTGAAAGCCATCAATGAAGTAAGATTTATTTTGATCTAAATCCTTTGTTGGAATAAGGTTACTCAAGTGAGGTTCTCTATATAATCTCCGAGCATCATTTTCCCTTACTAAAAATGTCGAAGTTTTATGTAAGCATTTTCCTATCATAACAAGGGGCAAAATGTAAACAAAAAGCAATCTAAAACTCATATATGGTAAACATTAGTGGTTTCTTGTCTGCAATACAAAATTCCTTAAAACATTAGTGGTTTTTTGTCGACAACACGAGATTCCTCAAGATAATTCCACCATCAAAGACTTACATCATACAAAACCATTGGAATAGCTATTAAAGCCTTTGCATTTGGAATTCCTTTAGCATCTAAGAATTTTTCATATTTGCTAGCCAATCTAGACACTTGTTTATGCCACTATCACTGCAAAAAGTTGGAATCTTAGATTGATCCACCAAGGAAGCTTAGCCTCGAGTGCCTTAATATATATATGTATGGTAGCCATTATATTATGTATCTCATTTTGCATCTTTTATTAATTTTTATTAAGAACTTGCAATTCATGAACAACATCATAAATAATCCAAACCTCTTCAGCTCTATCAACACCATAATCAGCACTATCATTGACATTAGAATTCTAACGTTTAACTTAGTCAGCCATTGTAACTAACTCCTATAATACTAATGTTATGACACAATGCTAAAAGATAAAAGGTATAGTCTCCCTAAACCATGTAACATGTCCTTTTGAGGTTCCTCACCACCCAATCACCCCCAAGATATCTCAAAATCTTAATTATACCTGAGTCTTTAGGGTAAATTAACATTTATCTTAAGACTATGCTTCCATATACCCTTGAGCTTCCTTTTGACCCACATTGACCATGGAGTGCCTAATAAAGAAGGAATATCTAGACAAAAAAATTGAAATGAGATTTGAATATATTGTCACCATAAATCCTTGGATCCTTAAAGGATAAATAGGGATAAAATAGCCACTAAGGGCGAACAATTGCCCCTTTTTCAATTAGCAAACTAAGGTTTAGTAAACTCTAATAGAAGGACCATAGTGACTGAAGGGTGGCCTAAATATGATCCAATTAGGATTCTATCCCTTACATCCTAAACCAACAGACTAAGGGGTGATCACTTGATTCCTATCCTATTAAGCAACTTCCTATCCTACTATTTTGATCTAATGTTTAACAACCCTCCCCTTGCTAGGGAATAATCATCTGCAATTATATTTAGGCCACCCTCTAGTCACTATGGTCCTTCTTTTAGGGCCTACCAAACCTTGATTCTCCCTCTAGATCCACTATGTTAAATATTCCTTTAGAATATTCCTGCTCCACTCATTAGCCATTATCAAGACCCCCAATAAGATCAAGACTGGAAAATGCAAAAGACAAAGAGAAAAGTTAGTGGAAACAAATAAGAAGCTTTAGATTAGCGTTGATTCAGATTGTGGAGAAATGGAATAAAGCTAACCTATATATACTATAGGTTGATGAAACTCCACCACTCTTGGATCGAGGACGGCCTAAATATAGCTAAGGTCGAGGAGGTGCCACATCATCATCAGGAATGTGGTTTGAGACTCAAGAATCGTACGGGAAATCAGAGAGTCAAGAATAGGAAAGTGTCTTAAGAGTTAGGAATAGGGAAGTGTCTCGAGAGTCAGGAATATGGTCTGCAGATCAGGAATCCGGCGAGAGTCAGGAATGTGGCAAGAATTGGGGGATTCCTGATAGCACCCCCTCCTCAAGAACGAGTGGAATGAGGACGTGAATGAGAACGAGGAGGAGGATGAGATGGGAGGCGAGGGACGGGAGATGGAGAAAAAGAATGAGGACTGGGACAAGAAGGATAGCGGTGGTGGAAGTTCTGAACAAGGTCAGGAGAATGAATCAGGTTGTCCGCAAGTTCCCAAATGCGTTCTTCAGGTCCATAACCCTTCCAGTCGACCAGATAGTAGAGTTTAGACCGTGAGATCTTGGAATCAAGGATGTCCTGAACCTCGTACTCAGACCCATCCTTGAGCTGCACTAGTGGAGGTGGAGGAATGACCCGATTTGGAATAGGACTAGGAATATAAGGCTCAAGGAGAGAGGAATGAAAAACAGGGTGAATTTGATATGAGGAGGGAAGTGCAAGGCGATAAGTGACAGGATTAATGATGGCAGTGAAGGGAAAGAATCGAGGTGTTTGAAATTGAGTTTGGGACATGGCCTGGTGGTGCAGATATTTCACCTAAGGAGCCAGACTTTATCCCCGATATTGTAAGGGGGACAATCCTGACAATGGACTTTGGCAAATGTTTTGTGAGATTCCTGAGCACGATGGAGGTGGAAGGAGATGGAGTTGTGGATTTCCTGGAGGTTAGAGACAAATGCCTCATAGCGGGGATTTGAACAAGAGGATTTGGATGGAGAAGGAAGTGAGAGATTGAATCGGGGATTTCAGCCAGAGTTTGCAAAGAAGGGGGAAACTCGAAGAGAGGAGTGAACAGAGTTGTTATAGAAGAACTCAGCAAGGGGAAGGATATCAAACCAGTCATCCTGATGATAGTTGATGAAGCACCTCAGGAATTGTTCCAACGTCTGAATTGTTCGTTCGGACTGTCTATCAGTTTGAGGATGATACGCCGAAGAGAGGTTGGCCTTCACTCCAAGTAGCTCCAAAAACTTTTGCCAAAAATGAGAGATGAACTAAGGTCCCCGATCCGAAACCACATCTGTAGAAATCCCATGAAGTCGGAAAATTTCCCTGAATACTAGTTTTGCTATGTCCTCGCCCGAAAACTCCTTGGTACATGGCAGAAATTTGCCATCTTTTTGAAGCGATCCACCACGACTAAAATGCTATTAAAGCCTTCAGAACTTGGAAGATCACTCAAGAAATCCATGGAGATGGATTCCTAAGGACCTGAAGGGACCAGGAGGGAACGAAGCAAACCTGAAAGAAGGTGGCAAGATACCTTATTCTAGGCGCAAGTGTCACAGAAGGTAATAAAAGATTTGATGTAGTCATCCATGTGAGGCTACCAAAAGTCTCATGCAACCAGCTCATAGGTTTTCACAATGCCAAAGTGACTAGCAGTCGAGCTATCATGGCACGCCATTAGGACCAACCTTCGAGCATCACCTTCAGGAACGTAAAGCTGCTCCCCACGGTACAACAAGCCATCTATGAACTCGAATTCGTCAAATCGCCGGCAGTCGGGGGTCACTGGGTGTCCAGCCTGAATATGGGGGAAAATGTCGCTAGCGAGGTCATTGAATTGAAGATCGTTTCTGATCACATCCATCAAGGAGGAGTCCTGAGGGGCCAGGGAAATTGCCATAACTTGAAGCCGATCAGGACCGAGGATAACCTGCTCCTGTTAATCGAAGGCAGGATTACCAAGCCTGAGACTGAGATAGGAGCGCCTTGAAAGAGCATTAGGAAGGCCTTGAAGTTTTCCAAGTTTGTACTTGATAACAAAGTCAAACCGACTCAGGAATTGTGCCCACCTTGCTTGATGACAGCTCAAAACTCGGGAAGTGGCAAAGTACTCGAGATTTTTGTGATCCGTCCAGACTGTTGTTTGATGGCCCACCCCCTCCAAGAAATAGTGCCACTCTCCAAAGGAATCCACGATGGCAAGGAGCTCCTTGTCGTGCATTTCGTAATTGATCTCTGCAGGCTGGAATTTTTGAGAATGGAAAGCGACTGGATGAAGTTCTTGATCCACTCTGAGTTGAAACAGCATAGCACCGATGGCAAAGTCGGAGGCATCAGCCTCGATGAAGAAAGGTTGTGAGGGATCAGCGTGCATCAAGACGGGAGCAGAGCTGAAGGCCGCCTTGAGTGTGTCGAAGGCCTACTGGGCAGCAGCAGACCAAGAGAAGGGAACATCCTTGCGAGTGAGATGCGTAAGAGGAAGGACAATGTCAGAGTAGTGATCAATGAATT